CCCACAGCCCCCTGTGACCGTGGATGACAGCGTGCAAGGGATGCTGAAGGTCCTCTCCTCCCTCTCTGAGAAGGACACCGGTGCCTTCCTGGACTGGGAAGGGAATGTCATCCCCTGGTGAGACACCACTTCAGGATCCTGGCACCAAGAGGTCCCTTTGGCACTGCTCCCACCTCCCCCACATCCTCAATAAACTCCTGCTGAGACCCCCAGCTCTGTTGTGCAGTGCCAGATCATGGGGTGGCCCTTTGCAGATATCCCACTGCTCCACTGGGGATTGGTGGTGCCCACAGCTGCCCCAACCCATGGCTGTCACTGGCATGCCCATGAGTGACAGCCAGCAGGTCCCATGGCACCATGACTGCCCTCTGCAGACCTCCCCTCCGGGAGGCACTGGAGGGGAGACTGGTTGTGGAGATTCAGTGTGGAGACAGAGCAGAGAGGCATCAGCTGCCAGAGTTTACAGAGGTGGAGGATGCAGGGGGACCACAGGTGGGTTGGGGAAGGAGACAGGAATTGCTTCCCAAGCCCTTCTCATCTTGAAGCTCCACAACCAAACACCTCAACCCCGTGTCTTGGAAGCCCAGAAGAAGCACAGCCCTGCCAGCACAACCTGAGGAGTGGGTGGGCAGGGGAGGAGACCTTTCACAGGCTGGAGAGGAGACAATTCCTAGGCAGAAAATGTCTGTGGAGGTGGGAAATGGGACACAGTCCTGGGACAAAGCACCTGAACCACCCTCCTGGAAGGCTTAGTCCCAGCTGCTGCTGTTTCTCTGCTTCCACCTGGGAGAAGCAGGCAGGGGGTGAGTGGCCGGGCCAGGGGGTGACCCATGGGCTCCCTCCCCTCCAGGGGCACCATGCCTGGGGCAGCATCTCCAGCACCTCCCCTGGCACCTCCCCTTACTGGCCCGGTACGGGTACATGGGGGCCTCTGGCACGCGGAGGCACAGCCCGATGGAGCCCAGTTTGGAGGAGATGTTGATGACAGCAGCTCACACCCTCCTTGCCCTGGCTGCCTGCTCCAGGAGTGGCAGAAATTCCTGCTGCAAGGACACAGATGCTGCATGAAGATGTGGCAGCCTGCAGTTTGTGTCTTTGTCTTGCTGGAGCACAAGGCCAGCAGCTGGTGATGTGCTGGCCAGGCAGGTGCCCATCCTTCTGCCAGGAGACTGGATCCTCTGGGTGTGCTTCCATCCATGGGAGCCTTGTTTCACTTGACAGTCAGGGAATGGGCCTTGGCTTGGAGGAGGCCAGCTCAAGGCTGAGAGTGTCAGCTTGTGGCCACGTGAGGAATGTCCTGGCCCAGGGGTCCGTGACAGGGGGATGAGATCAGCCTGTTCCCAGTCTTGTGTGGGTCTGATGCAGAAAGCCCTTCTTGGGAAGGTG